ACGGCCATCTTCGTATTCACTGCCGTGAGAACCTCAAATCTTGCTTGAAGACTTTATTTGAATGGGAGAGTTGAATGCAAGAAATTAAACAGGAACTGATGAAGTTGTTAAGGAACAAGCGAAAGTAATTGGAGAGCAGAAGGGGCAATCGAATTTTGTACACAAAAGATACTACTACGTATTTTGATTTTGTGATTACAGAAGTTCCTAAGTACTAACAAATACACTACTTCACCTCAAGTTTTCTTTCCTTTCATCCTTTCGACCTAACTAGGCCCACAATATTTCGCGCACTGATGGTACTTAAGCCTAATACATAATACAAAATGAATACAAATATACCCTAAAATAATTCAGTGTAGTGCCAGCCCCCCCTTTAACGCCAATGATGGTTGTCGACAAAGAGTGGCGCTGTAACGGGCTTGACTGTATACCTGTTTGCTATGGCTGACCTGCCGGCAGCGTTTGATGTGTTGCCTTGTTACGCGTCCCATACATTTTGTTCGACCGTCCGACCAAAAGGTTTGTAGTCTGTGAATGAGGATACGGGAAGCGAAGACAATCTCTGGCGGTGTCAGGGTGAGGTGACAAGGTGCTCCGTCCATCCGTATAGTACAGGAACAGACAGTCGACATGACTTGTCCATTATCTGGCCGTCTCCCACTATGCAGTCTTGCATATGTACAGGTACACTCACATCAAAACAAATTCGAGCACTCTCGAGGAATACGAGCCCTTACAAACGTGAGTGTGAGAATTGATATTCCACTTCTAAAGTACAGCCTTTGTGCATTCGTAAGATAGCACAGGGCATTTGGCTCACATATGGCAAGGCTAGTTAATCTGGTAAAGTCTAGGATAGTACGTTAATATGAAAATCAATGGAGTTAATAAATGTTAATAATAATGCCATCGGTGGTGAATAATAACAACTACAGAATACTGTAAAACCATTTCAACTGATAACTCAGATTTGTGCCTGCGCATTTGCAGTTGTTATCTATTTTTTAACTGGAAACAGTAGCAACTAATGGTAACAAAAACTCGCAGAAATTTGTGTCTTAATATTCAAAAATGGTATGTATTACATCTAATTAACAAAAAGTGTGAAGTGGTATCAGGCCTACGCCGAGCATATCTGCCGCCCCTATAAGAACAAAAATTTTCAATTTTTTGATTACCAAGTTTAATTATGGGTAGATTTCAGTTCTTTTTGGCGCTCCTTCAAACATGACTCCCGTAGGCAATTGCATACTTTGCTACCCTCTGGCGCCGCCCCTGATTTTCGGCACTCCAAAGCAATGCTTCAAAGTTCTGTGCCCCCCATAGCAAGTTGCCGCCCGATTGCGATACACCCGTTGCACCCATGGGGCGGCGTGACTCTAAATGGTATTATAAGCTGCAGTGAGATATCGTGTCTAAATAATGACACCAAATTTCTGTATAGACAGACTATTACTAATTGTTAGAAACACAACACACGACAAAATACTTCACTAAAGTGAACATCACAGTTCATCACTTATATCTCTTCAGAACGCATTCACTTAAACACTGCCTCGCATGAAAACTTCAGCATATTAAAAAAATAAATTAATCGCATTGCGATATTCTGAAACAAGACCCAAGGTTGCATCATAATTAGAAGCAAAACACGGCCATTTGAAAATATAGAAACCAGTTCGAGGCATGGATCAGACTTACAGCACTGAAATGGAAGTAACTTACAAACTTAGTTACAACCTAAGGTGCGCGTGCTACATATTTGGGGCCACTAAGTAACACGTTCTGTTCTTCAACAACGAATATTTTTATAGTTATTTATATTCATAAGTTTTCAACACCTCGAAGTATAAACAGTTCATCATTTTTTCATAGTTAGGCTTACATGTCATTGGGTTTAATTAAACACTGTCGTAGTAAGAGGAAGTCAAAATTATTATATTTTGCGCATAATAATATAGACTAACTAATTTATATTTTAATAATTCTGAATAAGTTATTTACTATTTAAATTATTGTGTGTGGCTCTAAAGCCCTTTGCGGGACTTGGCATCCTCTCAAATGAGAGGTTACTTGATCTACGTAAATTCATTGTTTAAATATGGGAGAGAATTCATGTTAGGATAACAATATTTCAAAATGCGACTGAGTTTCGGGGTGTTTAAATACTGAAGGAATCATTTACGATGGATTTACAACTAAAGGTATTGTGCATTAACGGATTATCAATCCCAAGATTTCGTCCAGGTTTACCTCAAAAGTAAGCGTAATTTTTGTACCACGGCACGCATTACCATTTGCTTATAGTCTTGTGTTAAAAAATTTAACAACTGTAAAAATTGAATTCAAATAGCAAGTGTAAAGCTATGTAAAGATTTCTTCCTACTAATTGACAGGCGTAAATAATATTTGTATTCACTTTCCAGGCAATTAGATATTTGAGCTGAAAGTAAATAATGAGTTTTGAAAACAATAAGGCCATTCATTATAATGTTAATGTTTAGCCAACATTTCGGTGTGCTTTGATAGTTAATGTATAAAATTTCGCAGAATTTTAAAAGGAAGATTTTCAGCACTATGCTACAAACTATTGTAATTTCATACAATTACGTTACTTCAAGTTCAGAGGTAGAGCCACTTTATTACATCGATGACTGTATACATCCATTTACATCCTAAGCGCATGTGCCTTCTTTTGATCGAACACTTTTTTCTTTTGTTTGAAAGCTTTTTATCGAGTATCTCCACCCTTCTCTGTCTTCTTAATCTTACGAACCTATTACTTTTGATGTCTTCGGGTATATGTGAGTTTAAAGGCTGTATTTGAAATTGGGCAGGTTGGAAATATGACTGAGTAATAATACAAAAGCTACATCTTACGGATTTATAACCTTGTTAAAAATCCAGTGCAAGTTTTTTTACGGGATCAGATATTTAAATAAAAAAGTCCGGCATTAATTGCTTGATACCAATTGCTATATAACAGTGCTGTTAATGGCGTATGTAATTTATGAAGATGACCATGATAAAAGACGGGGATCGAGCAGGAAGTGGTCATAGTGTATCCATGTATGGAAGTAGTTAATGGCTGGTAATTAAATCGCACACTTTGCTGGGCCTAATGTTGTTAGTAGGCATCTACATTCACATAATCAATTAAAAAAAATTCTTGTGCATTATAACGGCTTTGAAAAGTTCAGTTAACCTATGTTTCATGATGTTCGGTTTCTTACTTACAAGTAATATAATGGTCTTTCGGTATAAGAATTGCGGCCCCTATGCTGAGAGACAGCTCACGTGTTCAGATGCAAACAGAGCATTAACGATAGAGTAATTCTCTTTCGCAATAACAATATTTCTGGAACTCGGGGTTAAGTATTTAAAATGTAAATTGTATTGTGAAATTGTTAGTACTCAAAGTGTTACCTTGTTAGCGGTTTTCGCATGTTGCCAGCAAAACAAAAAGTGTTCGAGTGCACGATGTCTTTCATGATATTATTGCCCTATGTGTTTTTCGGCGCTTCTAGATTATATATCAGCATGATACGTCATTGTATATGGCAAATGGAAGAAACGAGATAGATCTTCAATGCAGCATTTCTTCGTGCAGCATTGTCCATCACAAAATGGAGTATTATTATAACACGTAGAATTAAAAAATCCATATCAGAATTCCGCATTTTGGGTAGTACAATATTAAATGTCTACTAAAGACTGACACAAACTTTTCAGCATCTGAGCTTAAATTATAGACCATTTGCACTTCTATGTGTATTCGATTCCTTACATAACAATTGTTGTTACTGCCAATGTTACACACAGAAATTTCCCAAGTACGAAAAGCACGTACTTTACTCCTTACCGCTTGTTATGGATACCAATGAGATGTCTCGGTTTCCGAACCTTATGCGTTCTAAACAATGTACGAGGATCACTCCAAAAGTGATGCGCCATTTTTTTTTAAATTCAATTTTTATTTCACAACTTTGTTATTCACACAGTGGATAGTTACAGCCTTTAGGAACAAAATACTACTTTTCAACGTAGTCTCCGTCTGTCTCAACCTCGGAGCAAGGGCATGTATGCCCGCAAGGTAAAACTCAGGATTAGCGTTTTTGAGCCACTTTTCCACAGACAACATAAGGGAGTCATCGTCCTCAAACTTTGTCCCACGAATGCTGTCTTTCAGTTTACCTGAACTGATGATAATCTGCCGGTGCCAGATCAGGACTGTATGGTGGGTGTGGTAACACTGTCCACCTCAATTTTGTGATCGCGTCTGTGGTTCTCAGACTGACGTGCGTCCGGGCCGCGGGACCCACCTCACACAGGCCTTCGAAAATCCCAACTGTTTCAATATTCTGCACACACTGGCTTCTGCGATGTCCAGTCGGAGTAACAGTTGTTTCACAGTTCTGCGTCTGTCCGCCACGATCATGTTCTTCACCCTCTCAACATTGGCGTCCGTCCGCGCTAACTGTGGCCTGCCGATACGAATATTTGCATGTCCACCTTCGCCTGTTGGTCTTTGCGCCCAGCGGCTAACTGTGCCTCGATAGACAGTATCCACTCCGTACACCTTCTGCAATCGCTTGTGGATGTTTCGTTCTCACACACCAGGAACTCGATAACAGCACGTTGTTCCTGACGAACGTTTTTAACGAATGACACACATGTTCCACTTGCGGGAGAAGGATGAACTAAGTTTTAATACAAGCGGGAAGAACGTATCTGTATTCTGTACGAATAGCAACACGGTAGATTAAAAGGGGATTTTGTAAATATGGTGCATTACTTTTGGAGTGGCCCTCGTAGTAATCTGATATTCGCTTTAAGCTACTGTAAATGTGAATGTGCAAATTCTATTGTGTTTTTTTCGTGTAAAGTTGGAAAATAATTTTATATCTGATTAATGGATTCATCCTACATGAAACGCCCAAATCATACCTCACAGTACTTTAGTTGTAAAGTTACAAACATATTTATAATTAGCTTACCTTATCGCAGAACACTTTGATCTGGCAGTACCCCCTGTGGAAGATTGTGCTGTCTCTTGGGTCTTCGTACGTGTCTATTTGAAGGTGAAGAGGTAAACCCTAGGGAAGGAATACGACACAGCAGATTTAGTTACAGGCCTACGTAGATAACCATAATGTGACATAACTTATTTCCTACTTCCAATCAGAATGTAAGATAATTTGGCTCTATAGATAAAGTTTAGACTTCCTGTTTCCAATGCCCTAAGCGTCGTGCGTAGTAGTCCATAGGCAAACAAAGACAGCTGAAAAGTATATGTTTTTAATTACTACTGAGGCTTAGACATAAAATTGTTCAAGAAGTAAATGCCATATATTTTCCTTAGTAATAACATTTCTATATCAATAAAGATAGTCGGATAAACAAATATGAGTACGATACAAATTTGTTGCTTTCAAAAAATTTGTAATCTGTCTGCACATTAATTCAGAATACGTTTAGGTGGTTAAACCTTGTACTTATATTATCATTCTATATACATGTGCCTTATATGTGTGTGTATAGTTATGTGGAAGGATTAATAATATATTTTATTCACTTGCGTATTTAAGAGTTTGACTGTAATTTATAATTTCCGATCAAATTAACTCCTTGTAATAAATCTTTACTTTCGAAGCCAGCAGTCGCTTAGTTAGTTAATAAATTCTTCGCCTTTCTTTTTATTTATTACAGTTCAGTAAAACTGGAAGTACTCAACGGCATACGAATAGTACAATGGCATTTTCTTAGCAAGCATACTGCTGCACAGGCGTCACTACATATACAGAGTGGGTGGGAAGTAAGTAGGCATTGAGAAATGGTTATAACCTCTATATTTCCAATGTATAACGATTATTTAATGCCTACTTACTTCCCACCCACCCTGTATATATAGGTAATATTTTTCATAACATTCTGTTTCTAATTGGTTGGTTTAGTTTGTACTGTATAAAGTCTCTATGTTATAGTAATTCTAGATATATTGAAATGAAGTCTCCAATTCACAACTCCTTATCTTGGGCTAACCCATCACATATAATCTAATATGAAAAGCTCCTTGCAAATCAACGAGGAATAATTTTCTTCGCCCACATTCCTTCTACATTATATTTATTTTATTACATCTTCGTCATGTTATCATTTCTGCTTTTCCTGTGTCCCTTTCGTACCTTTATTACCTTTCGTAAAAAGAGCAGAATTGCATCAATTCAAGTGTAAGGCACGCTACGTGATGCGTTATTTGGATGTTTTCTTCTGCGCCGTATCGTATATAGTTTGCAGTTTAAAATTTGGCCCAACAACAATCGAAAGTGCGACTCTAAAGTTAAATAAGAGGCAAGTTCACCCGAGACTTCACAATCTTGTTAAGATCACCCATGCTGCTAGGCCGCTGCTCTTGTCAGCTACGCAAAAGCTATGCACGTAAATACAAACATGGCGTATCACGAGCAAAACATGTGCTAATTCTCGAATATTACTCCGTATCGAAATCGTTTCCTTCTGTTCGTGAAGCGTTGAGCAAACCGTATCCTGACAAGAGAATACCGAAAAAGACAACGATACACCGACTTGCAACAAAATTTCGGGACACAGGAAGTGCTCGTCGAGAGACAAAGCAGCTTAATTTACAGCCATACCGATTTCAAGTGGTACGTTGCGGCATCAGGACAAGGTTCTAAGATTTCAGTAACTGTATTGACATTGGTTTCGTACAGTAGTCAGATAGAGTAGCGTTTTAAATGGAACACCCAGTATAATGTAATATGCAGAGAAGAAGAAGTAGGTTTATAGGCGCATTAGCTACACTAGTTATTTGCGCCATAATATGCAGACTTATATACGTGTGTGAGTGTTTATATATATATATATATATACACACACACACACACGATGATGCTGGAATTTTCAAGTGTATGTTTAGGCGATATTTTTCTGACGGCCAGTCATGTCTTCTGTGCAGGTATGTTACTTATTCACTGTACCACTCGTTAACTATATACAATTACATTTAAACTTGTAATTTATAAATAGGCAAGAATTTTAATTTCTTATGACTTATTATGTCGATATTTTAAATCAGAAAGGAATTTACAAAGTAAAGGATAAGTACCCAAGGCACAATTTCTGGACGTAATTGATGTCGTCACTAATAATAATAATACGTGAAATATCTGTCATGACCACACATAGGAGTGTTACAAGAAAAATATCACTCCATTTTACCACAGACCTTATACGTTTGTCGCCAGTGTCCTAAAATCTTACTAAAATAAACCCGCAGTAAAATAGATTATGTGACACGTTTGAAACCATTTTTGTGCAAATTTTTGTTTAAGTCTCTCAGGAAGTAGACGCCAGTGTGTGCAGAGATAATATTTGTGGCTAACAATAGACCCCGGAGCAGCTGCGTGTGTGAGGGAGGGATTGTAAGACGACAGAAGAAAGGAACTCTGTGGGAAGTAGTGATTGAAACAGTTTTACTGAATTATTTGACAGGACTTAAGAAGTTCATTCACGGAGTTATGATGTACGATATCTTCAAGAATAGCACAATAGAACTTTTTTTTTTCTAACTCAGACGTGTCGACCTTTTCCACGTTAACGTAATAAGAATAGGGAAAAACTTCCAACGGAGTTCAGAACTAGCAGAAAACTTTTTCGGAAACATAAAACTGCCAAACTGATTTGTTCAGGTCACCGGATTTTAGCACTTGCTACTATTTCGCACCCCCTCCATGACTCGTTTAATATTATTACAACTTTTTATTATTATTGTAGATATATAAGCTGTAAGGCTTCTAAATCTCCTACTGGCACGAAATTTCCCACTGTTAGAAATCGTGAAGATAGCTGAAAAATATATGTGATTTTTGTATACAAATTTGAAATTATTTTCAGCTACCTACCAAAAAAATGATGTTAAATAGTATAAGACTTAGCAAAGAAGTTGTCGTACTGACATAAAAACAAATAACATCTGTTTTGAAGTCTCCTTTTGTTAAAATTCAGGCGTGCAGCTGGGATTGTCTCCAGCCTTTGGCTACCTTTCTTATTATCGGTAAATTCAGATAAAAATAAAACACTTTAAACATAAGAATGATCGCCATCAGATTATGATTAGAGAGCAAGTTAGTTTTCTGATGACAGAATAGGTTTGATTTCATCAATAATATAAGACTATGACCTTTTAGCCTGGCATTAATGAAAACATTTTCCACTTTCTTAAGCAGAAAAAATCATTCAGCTTCATTTCTACCCCTTCTGTGCTTTCGTAATTATCTGTTTTAGAATTCTTATTAAAATTACTTACGTCTACGTAAGTAACTACAAAATGATTTTCCTGCCCTCGATGAAAGCTTACCTCCCTTTGCCTCTTTCATTTAATAAGAGGTGAAAACACAGAAAAATAATGAGCAGGTGACATTTCAATTTCAACTGCTGCGTGTTTCATAAAGCTAAAGATTCTGAAGAAGTTGCGGATACACGTAATTATCTCTGAACGCTTCCAAGATATCTAACATACAACGCAGAAAAGCAAAGATTAACTGTCGGCGAATATTTACCTTGCGAGGTATAAAACATTGAAATATATTACAGCTAGAACTTTTTCATTCGAATATACCTTCAGTGTGTCAAGTTTCCTTGTATAAAAATGTATCTTCTACCTTTATGCTACATTGTAAATCATATATACTTAACAATGGATGTGAATGGTCGGTATGACAACTACAGTTTCTTTTAAAACAACTTGCGTATTCGTCATCGTTGCAATGGATGTTCCTCCATTTGGTTCCGCATGTAAGTTATCATAAATGGATGGAATATGATACCTTACTTTACTGTATCGTACGAAGACCGGTATTTACATTTCACATGCAAATAATGGTGCATGATGGGAGGAACAGAAACAAGCCCCATAAAAAACTGGAAAAAATTATTTTCAGACAGATTTCTTGACTGGGACATAGGCTGTTAGGACTGTTTTCCTTTCAGCACCTATAGGTAAATACTATTATAGTATCCTGAATTGTGACACGACTGTTCAGTTCCATATCTTTTCTAATTAACTGTTTATTAATCAACCCATAATTCCACACTGCATAATACTCTGAACTACAGACAGCATTATTAAATAGACCATAAAAATTTCATAATCAATCTGCGTAAGTTATACCATATACACAGATTGATTATTAACGTATTTTTTATCGATGTTGGTCTTCTGAGTAGTAACGCTGTGTGGACTTGTAGGTAGATACCAAAATTCCGGAGGAATATACTGCCTCCATCTCCAGGGCTCAATTTCCTGAAGATGGAAACAATATGTTCCTCCGACGTGATGTTACCTACGTCTACCTACACAACTTCACAGCAATAGAAAACATCAAACCTCATAAGTTATGGGTTTTGTGTTATTAACGTCCAAAACTGCAACGTAAAAATATAAACCATTCCAGATTTCACTTATGTTAGTTAATTGTTATTTTATAAATTTTCAGCATGAGACGACACTAAAACTGAAGCCGGCAAATAAGAGGCCGACAGCATGTAACTATCTCGCGACACGCATCTACAAGGATTCTTGGCCTTGGAATACATAGTTTCCTCCAAATGATTCATGCAAATTTTCTAACAGACACTTGAAGCTATCTGAGGAATGCATGGCAATATAGCACAAGTTAGCCGGAAAATGGCGCCAGATAATGTCCCTACTAATAATGAATTCAAATATAGAATTTTTGTATTATACTAAGAGGTAAGGGGGTTAAAGATACAAACATGTTCGAGATATAACGAATCAAAGACAAAAAATAGAAGGGAGATAACAATACAACAGAATATAAAAAGGTACGTGTGAAATACGACCTGCAGATGGCTTAAAAAATAAAACAGAAGACGTAAATGACAAAATACGAAAATGTAAAGAAACTAGAAAGAAGATGGCTGTCAGAACTGTACGAAGAGAGCAAAAATATATATTTGCTCGATTCCCAGTTGCAGTAATTATATTACCTGAGTTAGAAGTGGTACCAAGTGCTTACACATTTCATGAAAATTGCAATCTAACAATGAGAAACGGAGACACACACGTAAAGTAGTAAATCAGATTTTAAAGATACTAACTGTAAATTTTAAAATACGTGGCTACAAAATTTAATTTCAAAATTACGCACCTATCACACGAAGTTTATAGACAATGTCCTTAATTCGTAAATATTTCTACTCAAATACCATAACCATTTTTGGGCAGTATTTTTTCTACTTCGCTCACTAGAAGTACCAAGAAGACGCGAGGCCAAAACGTTAAAGCAGGTTATTAAATGAGGTCAGTTGCCAGAAAACCGATACGCTAAACAAACAAATATGAAGAAATAGAACAAGGATTTATACCTCGCACATATTACACATATATGTGAACATATGGTGACGAAAGACGTTCAAACCTTCTCTTATGCCGAAAGAGAATAAAAAACTTTCAAAAAGTTTTCACTTTTTACGATCTATCGACTTTAATTAGGCGGCAGGCTGCTTGCTTGGTTGCAGGTAACAGATGCGGCAGAGATAGGGAAAATTTTAAAATGTCTGGTGAACATCGGACTGACAGGGCAAGATCTGCGAAGCAGAAGTGGGTGTTTCTGTCAGACTAACTTCCATGCTACAAATGCTTAGAACTACATATCCGAGAATGCAAACTCTTACTATATGCCTCTAATACTGTTTAAGAGTTTTGGGGCGGTGTTTAGAATTTTATCATTTAACTCCGATTCTGTACTTACTATAATTTTTATATAAAGTGACAACTTTTAACGTGTTTTAATTACAACTTTTTCAATTTAACAAAGATGTACTTTGTTACAATCGTTCAGAGTGGAATCATTATGTGGATTTTGCGTTTATTCTGGTGTAATATTACAATTTTATCTAACGAAATTTATTATGAAGTGTAATTTATGCTGAATATCATCACCTGTATCATTATCTTAATGTTATTATTGATGCAGGAATATTCTAAACATCTCACAATCACACTAAGAAATAAACTGTATTTCATATCATTAGTAACAGGTCTTGAAAACGAAAAGAGATGATCCAATACAAATCACCGAGTGAATATTTAAACCCGACAACACAACCCTTTTCGCAAGACAACAGATTCGGCGGCTTGTAGTTTATTTATCTTGCGGCTTTGTTAGTAGTTCAGACTATATAGTGTCGAATGACAGGATGATCAATGAATTGGAAAGGTTATGGAAGGAAGCGGCATGTGACCTAATTTGAGGTACTATTTCGGTATTTGGCTGGAGGGAAAACCACAAAAGAATCGGGTTTCCGGGCCAAGATTTCAGCCTGGGATCTCCGGGATACAAAACAGGATTTCTAACGCTCAGTTTGCGATGTTCGGTAACGAGCAGATAGTGTGCAATCTTTTGTTAGTTTGGTTTCTGCTTTTCTTACAATGCACAGATTTCAGGAAAATCTCACTCAACTATTCTCAATGAGGAAGAAACTGGCATTATAGAACAGCGTAAAGTCATTGAGAAGTAGCACGGGAGTCCCAGAATTTTCAATTTAAAACATGACTTCATAAACAAGACAAAAATATCAAATTTAGTTGCAGGTTTTTCACTTGCAATAAATAAAAAATTTAAAAATTCAAACAGTGCCTACAGAATCCTAGTCGTAGCAGTGTTCTGTTGCCTACGACTGATTTAATTAAACCTAACATGTAATTTTTGCAGACGATTCTACTAGCTTCTAGGTTGAAATGTAGAGCTCAGTTCATTTTCATCATGTGACGTGAGAACGTGGAATATTTTGAAACCTTTAAACATGTGTACTTTTTGAAGATTTCTGTCTTCTGGGTTATTGCGCTGTGTAGTCTGGTCGATGTTAACCAACGTTTCAGAGGTCATACTGCCTCCGTCATCAGGGCGATGAATATGCCAAT